CCGCTGCGGGGGACGGAGCGGCGGGGAGGGAGGCAGGGAGCCCGTGTCTGTGTACGGTGCTGTTGTGAAGGTTTTACTGGCACTCGAAAGAGGAGCACTTCAAATGGGGGCAATAAAGTATTTTCCTCTCCGACACTGTTATACAATCTGCTTACGCAAATTTTAGGAAGTATGGAATATTTGTAGAGTAAATGTTAATTAGTGGTTTTTTTCCCCCATCTCTGCAGCAAGATTTCATCCAACCCTAATGTTGGCGTCTCCCTGGGAGAAAGAGTAAAGCTCATAATTTCCATTCATTCTCATTTTTTTTTATGCATTGGGTGGCTTTTTTCAGGGACATTAGAAAACTGAGGCTGGATGCTTGCCATTAGCCAGCTAGCCAGGGACTGCTAAACCATACGGGGTTTCTAAATCTGATGAGATGACACCTGTATTCATAGCCTGCTCTCTGGGAAAGTGCTGGGCCTTGTGGTCTTCACTGGTTTAGTCTGAGTGCCACCAAACCTGTGACTTCAGTGAGCTGTGAGTGATGTTCCACATGGGAGGGGGCACAAGCAAACGTTTTTATGACAGTCTCTTAATTTTAAAAATAGCTGTTATTTGACAGGTGTGGTGGGTTGAGAATTTATAGAAGAAACACCGGTGGGCAGAGAGCAGGGGCGATGCTGTAAATCAAAATAAAAGCAGTTTATGACACAGTTCCACAAATTACCTTATCTGTGTGTGCTCAGGCTCATTATGAAACTTGATTACATGTCAAGCAAACTGTGCAGGTGACATGTTGGCATTCTGTATTTAGAAACAAACTACCTTGAAGCTGATTCATATTAATGTGATTTTCAGCATCTGATAGATTTGAAAGGAGGAATCTGTGGGTGAGGGTAAATGCTGAAGCCCGAGACGGTAATTCCTGTGCAAATGGGCTGCAGCAACAAGATACTCAGGGTACGTGAAATGAGGAAATGTCCTTCTTGGGTAGGGAATTCAAACCATAGCTCAGCAATTATTCACTGAAATAAGAATCTTGATGCTGGCATGAAAATCAACTTAGTTGCTACTTTTTGCTTTTAAAGACATAATTTAACTATGGAGATTCAAGAAGGAAAGCGTATCAAATGGAAAATGCGATTCGCATCGACATCCTGGGCCCTGGGAGCGGTGCGATGAACGGCTGCTGCCTGCGCTGGTGCCAGGTCGCGGGGCTGGGATGCTCGTCAGGGCTGGTCCCCGGCGTAGCGAGGGTGCAGCACACGCGTGTGGGATCCCAGAGGGGCCGGTGCTGCAGCCACGGGACGTGGCCTGGCCCTGCTCCTGGTGGAAAGTGGCCTCGGGTAACCCCGGTCCGGGACTGCGGTGGCAGTGGCCTCCTCTTCTTCAGGGAAGTTTGTGCGGAAGGACCCGACGTGGCTGGGAGAGCAATCTCCGGTGGTGGCTGCGGGGTAGCATGCGAAGTTTGGTGGGAGCTCAGGGGAGGGCTGGGGCTTGTTTTGCTTTACAGAGCGTGGGGAGGAGGCGGAGGGGGATCTGCTGCTCTGGCACGCAGAAGCGGTGCAAGTCACCCCACGTCCCGCCGGCTGCCTGGCAGAGCCCGTCCTGCCATCCCCCGTCCAGCAGCTGCGGCAGGAGGCGGGG